GAGAGAGAGAGGGAAACACAGAAACTGAAGCAGGCTCTAGGCTCCGAGCTGTCAGCACAGAGCCCGACGCGGGGCTTGAACCTGTGAACCTGAGCCGAAGTCGGACGCTTCACCGACTGAGCCACCCAGGCGCCCCCCCTCAAAGCTTCTTTAATTACATTACAATGATAGCTAGCTTTTGAGAAAATCAGTCTCCGAGGTCACTTTCTCCAGCTGGAAGTCTCCCAGTGCGGTGATGTGCTCCTTCCGGGAAATTAAAAAGGATTTATCTTATTTATTAACCGAATTTCTAACTGTGGTAAAATACCCATCACATAAAAGTTACCATCCTAACCAAGTCTAAGCGTATATAGTTCGATAGTTTTAAGCATATTGACGCTGTTGTGCAACGGGTCTCCAGAACTTTTTGTCTTCCCAAATGGAACTGCAACCGGTCAAGGCCAACCCCCTCTTTCCACGCCCCCCTCCCCGCCCCGCCCCTGGAAACCACCATTCTGCCTTCCGTCTCCAGGACTCTGACCGTTGTGCCTTGCAAGTGCATTTGAGCGAGCGTAATCCTTTGTGAGTTGTCAGGGTATGACTCATTCTTCTGTACCTTGTCACGGGCCCCACTATAAAGGGGCCCATGACCTGAGGTGCAGTGAGACCTGAGTCATGTGTCACGTCGGGGTGACATCTGACGCTGGCTGGGGAGGGATTTCTTTTCCTTGGTTCTGAGGGTGACCTCTGGTGTAGGAGCAGGGCCAAGGTTTCGGGCACCCACTCTGGGGCCAGGTCGCCCAGTGTCATACCCCGGCTCCCCACTGAGCGGGCTACTTCATCTCTTTGTGCCCCGTTTGCTCACGTGCACTTGGGGTAAATGGTACCTCCGTCCCAGGAGTGTAGGAGTGAAGGAGGATGAGGACCAGTGGCACCCCGACCCAGCCGCTTCAGCGTTTGCTCTTACAGATTGCTGTTCCTGGTTTAAAGCCATGCCTGGGGTCCGGCATTGGTGCTTTAGAATTTTCTTACCATGACGCACCCCAGGAGGTGGGGCATTGCTGACCCCTCTGAGGGGATTTATGGAGCCCTCCCATCCTCCGGATTACTCCTATTTCTTTGTATACCTAACATTTATTGTGATGTAAAGTATGACACTAAATGTATCGAGTGACAATTTCTTTAACTTGAAAACATGCTGGGCGTTTTTCAATTACAAACTATGCAGTCATTGTAAAAAAAAAAAACAAAACCCAAAAAACAACTCAATGCCGAAATACAGTAAAAAGACAAAAGTTGCTCTTTCTTCTTCCTTCTCCTGACACCCACCTCCCCTTCATTCTTGCACTGACAATCGGACACCCCCCTTCCCAGTGGTGGTGCTGGCTGAGTTTGTTGTGTATCCTTCTGGAAACAGATCTACCCATTTACAGTCATGTGTATCATGCATATGAATATAGGGTATACGGCTGACCCTTGAGCAACATGAGGGGGTAGGGTTGCAAGTCTGCATAAACTTTTGACTCCCCGCCCCCCACCCCCCCAGGACCAGACTTTGCTAATAGCCTACTGTTGACCAGAAAAGCCTTACCAATAATGTAAACAGTTGATTAACACGCAATTCACATGCTATGTGTATTATATACTATATTCTTACAATAAAGTAAGCTAGAGAAAAGAAAATGTTAAGGAAGTCATAAGGAAGGGGTGCCTGGCTGACTCAGTGGGTGGAGCATGAGACTCTTGATCTCCGGGTCATGAGTTCGAGGCCCACATTGGGTGTAGAGGTTAAGTAAATAAATTAAAAACAAAAGAAAGTCATACGTAAAATACATTTACAGTACTATACTGTAATTATAAAAAAAAAAATCTGCTTATGTGTGTACCTGCATAGTTCAAACTCATGTTATTCAAGGGCCAAAGGTAATTGCATTTCTTATTCTAAGAGGGATGTCATGACGTTTTTCCTACGTATTATTCAAGAATCTTTTTTTTACTTACCAGTGTTTTTTATTGAGATACGTGTGTGTTTGTATATATGCACACACAAAACGCTATCAAGTGTTCTGTACCATCAGCATTTCGTGATTCATTGAAAGCTTTACTTATTCATAGACCTATACATTGTTCCACGTGTTCAACATTAAACGGTAACAGAGTAAACCTTGTCACGTAATTTTCTTCATGTGTGACTCCCTTGGGCGGGAGAGACTGGATCCCGGTACTATGGACATGCAGCAGCCCCCATGGCCACCAGGGGGCCCCCACGGCCCCCCGCCTCCGTGAACAGTCTCAGAGCAAGGGGAACAGGAAGGAGTTGTGGCTGTGATTGACATTTCTCCAGGTCTGTCTTCTGCCTTTCAGTGAACTTGTCACCCCCACGTTTTGTCCCAGCTGTACACTTCATTCTTGTCTCCTTGGCAGGGGGACGGGACGACATGACTGATCAGACCTGCGGGCCGTGAGCCCAACTGGGGCCTGCACCTCACAGGTCTTGCCCTGGGGAGCAGTCTCTGTGTCTTCTCCACCACTGAGAATGGCAGCAATTCGAACATCCTGGAAGCCTTCTGTGGAGGATGGCAGGGTCAGTGCCCGCATGGGATCGCTTACCCCCAGACTGTAACAGGAGCTTGAAATCACTTGTTTCCTCTAAACTGTGTGTGCGGGTTTTCCGTTACAGCACCTTGGCCTGCCTGTAGCCTACCCAGCCCAGAAATGGGTTTGTCTGAAACATTCTGGAATGGAGCCGACGGACAGGTGGACTGACTTGAGGGATCAGGGAAATGGACGACCAAGGACGCTGACCTCCTGGGATGAATGGCAGAAAAAGGTGTGAGTGATAGCTTTGCAGGTGAACTTACACTGGGCCAAATGCCCGGCTCTTCAGGGGCTCTTACTTCTGATAGGCAGGAGTTATGCTTGTAGTTCCTTCACGTCTTAGGAAAAGTAAATTTTAGAATCGTTGCGTTAGACCACAGATAAAATCCAGAGGGAAAGGGCACTGGTAACAGTAATCTCCGAACTTCCTATGTGAGCAGATTTTTTCTTAGAATGTGGAGCGTGGGGCCAAGAATGAGTAGGAAATGCCTGGACCCAAGATAGATATTAAATTGGAATCTATGCCGAGTCTAGCCAAAGTTTGAGCACTTGGGATTACTTGCACCCCTGCTCAGCTTTTCAGGAGACACAGATATTGAATAAGACCCAGCCCCGTCCTCAGGGAAACTTCCGTCTCATTAGCGGAGTGAGCCCGAAGTTTCCTCCCTCCCAGAGCTGACTTCGGATGCCTCATCCATTTCAGTTGCCCTTTTAGATGCACAGCTTGTTTCCTTGTGCAGGTAAACAGTGCATGTGTGCGTGTGTGTGCGCGCAATCCAGACAACTGATTTATAATTAAATGAAGACGGTTGCTATCGTTTGTACTAGGTAATGGACAAAACAAAACGAAAACTATTTGGCTGAAGTGCTTAAAGTAGCTTACTTGGTACAGATCGAGCCTTTCTCCCTGGAGACAAGGCCGTTGCTAGGAAATCAGACTGTGAAGTTTATTTAAGTAAAGCCCTTGGCATAGATCAGACACCAGATGGGTGACAGCAGTGCTGAGACGACACTGTGGTCAGGTCAAGGTTGTTGGTGCGAATAGCATGGACGATATTTGGAGTGTGAGAGAAGCTGACAACCCAGTAACAGCAAATGAGTGGATGGGAACAAAGGACAAGTCAGTAGGGGCTGTATGCCAGCGTGCCTGGGTGGCTCAGTTGGTTGAGCGTCCACTTTGGCTCAGGTCATGATGTCGTGGTTCACAAGTTCCAGCCCAGCATCAAGCTCTAGGCTGACAGCTCAGAGCCTGGAACCTGCTTTGGATTCTGTGTCTCCCTCTCTCTCTGCCCCTCCCCTGCTCACACTCTTGTCAACCTCTCTCTCAAAAACAAATAAACATTAAAAAAAGTTTTCTTTAAATAGGGGCTGGACACCAAGTGTCCTCCCTGCCCAAGACTGAAGGCACCCACAGCGGCCTTTCCCAGATGGACACATTTCACTCTTAGTTTAGTAAACAGCACCCTTATCTTTTCTTGTCTTGTTTTCCTTTGAAAACAGCCACTTTTGAAAGAAAAAAAAAACAAACCACAATCTTGGTTTATCAGTGCTCGGTTATTTTGACACTTTCAGAATAAATGTA